TGAAGTCGACGTTTTGTCGTGCGCGCATTAAAAACACATTACAAACTACTAGCATGGCCAGCCTACCAACAATACCAATGAGGGAGTAGACCTGTATACCTCCTTCTAATGAACAGGTTGACTAAGAGCAGATCATAAATGATGATAATGACTAGAGACGGAATTCTAGAGTCTTGCGAGTGAAGTGACACACCAGGAAGATGGTCTCTGTTGCATCACGTACAGATGGCGCCACTTACCAATGAAAAGGTTGGAGCTGATTGCGAGGAAGAGTCCGATAAAGAAATCCCTGTAAGATCGGCTGACGTCCGCTGGCGTGAGAGAGTACGGCACTTTCTTTGCTGCAAAAATTCCAATACATATATCGTTATAGTGACAGTGAGCAAAGCTCCAGTGAGCTTTGACAATCGTCTGTAATATCAACATACCATAGAAACAGTCCACCGAGTATTTCATGCATATAGTCTTTGTGTGCACAGGACAGCATGTACGGGTTCATAAAGGTTACAAGATTATGTATAGCACACTTGCATTCACGGAGTCTCATGCTCTTGAATCTGTGAACAATAAATGTGGCTGATCACCATATCAACGTTGCAACCGTTCACTGACACAGGCACCATACTTACCAATAAATAAACTCACAACGACCGACATTCCCAGAGTCATGTAAAAGTCCCGCTTCAACGTCGCTCTGTCAACGTTTGCGGGTGACGCCATGACCTTCGCCGCCTCGTACAGACCTCTCGCGACGCGCTGCGTTGATCTCGCCAGAGACCCGCAGCGGTCAGGCGTGGGCGGCCTCTCTGTGACGTTGTCGTCGCCGGAAAGAACGAGGGTTTCATTGGCAGGCGAGTTGCTCGTTCCATTGTCTGTCCTTATCTCTTCTAGTTGGATACAGCCTGGGTGTACTTGTTCTGACCCCTGAAAAACATATGAATCCACTTCAGTTGTTTCAGAGTTGCACTAGAATAATAAGTGACTGTGTCAGTATGTGTATACAGATGTCTTTACGTTGTTGCAGATGTTTATTAATTAATTATAATTTATACTATAGTATATAGCCCAGGCCTAGTTAACTAAGTTATTTATGCTAACGACAGTGAGCAGGGCTGCCAACATTGTGTGATAGGTGAGAGTGAGATGCGAGGGAGCGAAGCGACCGAGCGTGGGGTGGTGTGGGAGGGGGGTTCTCCCCTCCCTCGGTATGGAGCTTTTGCATTTTATAACTTCAATTTGTGCAATTTGGTGCATACTAAAGACTAAAGTGACTGTTTTCAGATATTGTAAGATTTTTTTTGCTGTGCGTGAAATATTTCAGCGTTTTATTCATGAAGAGATATTCATGCGGGAGATATCTCAGCATTTTTTTGCTGTGCGTGAGATACTGTAAGATCAGCGTGAGAGCGTGAGATTTGGTCAAAATGCCTGAGTCTCACGGTCAATGCGTGAAAGTTGGCAGCCACAGGCACTTGAAGCGTATCAACTGTAAACATACGCCGCCGCCATTGCGCGTACACGTACACATAAATATAGAGTGCACTCATATATATATATGTGCACTCTATATTTATGTGTACGTGTAC